CCTTCCTCCTCCCTCCTTCCCTCCCTCAGTCCCTCCTTCCTTCCTCCCTCCCTCCTTTCCTTTCTTCCTCCTTTCCTCCTCCCTCCCTCCTTTCCTCCCTCTCTAGCTTCCTTCTCTCCTTCCCTCCCTTCCTTCCTCCCTCCTTTCCTCCCTCCCTCTCCCCTTTCCTTCCTTCCTTCCTCCCTCCCTTCCTTTCTCCCTCCCTGTTTTCCTTCCTTCCTTCCTTCCTCCTTTCCTCCTTTCTTCCTTCCTTCCTTCCTCCCTCCCTCCCTCCCTCCTTTCCTCCCTCCCTCTCACCTTTCCTTCCTTCCTTCCTCCTTCCCTCCCTGCCTCCCTTCCTTTCTCCCTCCCTGTTTTCCTTCCTTCCTCCTTTCCTCCTTCCCTCCTTCCCTCCTTCCTCTCTCCCTCCCTTCCCTCCCTCCCTTCCTGGGGAAGCCGATCCCCACCTCCCCTGGCCCCATTCAGCAGTCTCCACTCCCATGTCCCTTCCAACCATATGATCTTGTGATTCCAGTGGATGATGCCGTGATGGACAGCGTCAAGCAGATCTTCGGCTTTGAAAGCAACAAGAAGAACCTGGTGGATCCCTTTGTGGAAGTTACCTTTGCAGGGAAAACGGTACGTCAGCTACTGCGTCTTGGTGTACTCCTAGTTGAGCAGGGGTTGGACTAGAAGACCTCCGGGGTCCCTTCCAGCTCTCTTCTGATTGAACTGGGAAGCATTACGAGAGAAAGTCTTTCTATTTCCCGAGACGCAGGACCAGCTTTCCTTTCCTAAAATACGTAGGAGCTACATGGCCCTTTGGAAGCTCTGCCTAAAACCGGAGCTATGTCCTATAAGGGATCTATGGAGTAGAAAGGGGGAATGAAATTCAAAGATAAATTAATAAGTGCGGGCATAAAAGTAATCCTCAACTTACAATTGTTCATTTAGTGACCGTTCTGTTCTGACCTAGGCTTCCCCAACAGCACAAAACTGAGTCCTCGTCCCGATAAACCCCCTTTTATTTAATTTACAATGAATTTCCTCTCCAACAAAGTCCTGGCCAACAGTCTTTCAAGGTAGTTCCCAATTACAAACCTTTATCAGGCTTGGAGAGGGGCCAGGCCGATATCTTTCAGAGGCGGCAATATTTGGCAAGCATGCTGGAATGAACCAATTATCTCCCACTCCCCTTTTGCTCCTCTTTTATTCCCTAGGGGAGGAGCCATTTACCATCCCCCTGTGGCTTTACTTCCAAGTCGGCTCTTGTTCCTCAGCTGTTCCCTTCATCTGGCAGCTCTGTGCATGCGCACACTGGGAACAGGCTCCAGCTGTTCTTCTTCCTCACTTATCCCCGACTCCGAAGGCAGCTGATAACTGTCAGACGGCCCTGGCCCCATCTCTGCCTCCGACGCAGAGCCCTTGTCAGAGCCTTCCCCAGACTCTAAGACGCGTCCATATTCCTCCCCAACCTTCTCACTGTCCAAATATGCTGCCAACTGGCTGCTGTTGGGCCACAACACGTTACCAAGGCACAGAAAAAAGTGGCTTATGATGTTTTTCACACTTACAACCGTTGTAGCATCCCTCATAGTCACGGGATCAAAATTCAGGTGCTTGGCAGCTGACTCGTATTTATGAGAGTTGCAGCGTCCCGGGGTGGGGGGTGGGGTGTCACCTGTTCCCCTTTTGCAATCTTCTGGCCAACAACATCAATGGGGAAGCCCGATTCCCTTAACAACGGCGTCCCTGTTCTGACCCAAACCCTTTTCCAATAAAACAAACAATAACCGAAGGGAACAGAAACCTTTTAATGAGTCTTACGAAGTGCTGCAAACTAATTAACTTTGATAAGCACGAGCCTCGCCAAAACTGTGCGGGGCTGCCAAGAATAACAGATAAGAAATAGTTTACAACACAAGAGTCCTCAAATACCAACTGTAATATCCACGAGGCTGAGTTTCAAAACGTCTTTGCTTCCTGCAAAGAACGTCCGATTCACAGCTGGCTTTTATCTTCTTGAAGGAGGGGCCATTACCTTGCAGCCTTACTCCTGAGTCACCTGTGCTGCTGCAGCTGCTGTTTCCTGCGAGCAGCCCTGCGTGCACACGCACTTGGCACAGGCTCCTCGGGAACCTCCTCATCACGGCTGCCAGCCCCCACAATCTCGGAAGGCAGCACTCCACTCCCTGATGGTCCTGGCCCCTCACCTGAGTCCTCGCTCTCCTCAGCCATCCTCACCTGCTGCCGGCTAACCACAACAGTCCCTGACTTAGCAGCCACATGGATTCGCTTAACAAGAATGGTCGTAAAACGGAGACCAAACTCACTTAACAAGAGTCTTCCTTAAGTTACAGAAATGTTTAGGCTCAACTGTAGCCATAAGTCGAGGACTTACATGGTTTTGTTTCCCGGTTGAGCCAGATTTCTGCCTGGAAAGTGGGCAGCAGGACCCCCGAAGAGAGAGGGGGGGCTCTTACTCAGGCATATCTTTCCTTCCTTTGAGTAGCTCTGCAGCAAGATCGTGGAGAAGAACGCCAATCCGCAGTGGAACCAGATTGTCACGCTGCCTGCCATGGTGAGCGCCCCCCCCCCGACCCCGACCCCGTCTCCCCGCCTTTTCAGCATCCCCTCTTTCCCCAAAGCCCCTCTCTGACCCAGCCTCTTCGGCTCTTCCCTGCAGTTTCCCTCCATGTGTGAAAGGATGAGGATCCGTGTCATGGACTGGTGAGTAAAGAGCGAGGAGCCAGTGACGGGATTCCGCCTGAGTCCATCATTTACAACTCGAATCCCCCCGTTTGCAAAGTTTGGGATGGGAAAAGGAGCCGGGCAGCCTCGTTTCTAGCTGGGGGCTGCAGTTCAGCCCTACCCGTTGTTTTTTTAAGCGCATGAAAAAGTTGGGGATTCTGCACAGTTTGAGTAAACTTGACTCCCTTCTAGTACGGATGATGTTACCTAATTGGTCATGAAATGTCTACAGGAAAACTCCCCAGCTCAGAGGAGCTCAGAGTCATCCTCCTTCTCTCCTGCTTCT